AAAAWATGTGAATRCTTTGAARGCATTACCTGTGTGACTAATCTGTACACATAAACAGGTCTGGTTTGACCAAACCTGAAGACTCTAAAGATTGACTGAACATCGTGGGAAGGATTCCATGATACATCAAATACTATGACTCTGTTGGCAGCAACAAGGTTTATGCCCAGACCACCTGCTTTGGTTGATATTAAAAACAGACGAGCCCTGAGAAAAGAAATATCATTATAAAATAACTGTTATAAATCTCACATTCTGATTGGTTGGAAGCGCATGCTTTATGTGCGTCATAAGTATCCAAAAAAAAATGCTTATTGAAATTTGTATTTTATAAAAAAATAAAAAATAAAAAACTTGCTTGCTGTGCTGTGGGGAGTTATAAAGCACTTGGGGATTGGCAGAACACTCGAGAAGTTTCGAGAAGCACTCCGCTACCTGTCGTGCTTCTCCTAACACTTCTTTCGTGTTCTGCCAATCCCCGCGTGCTTTATACTGCACACAGCACGCGTACGCGTTTCCTATTTCTTCGTTATCAACATGAGGTAAGTCACCCTTCCTTTTCTTACATCACTGATAATCTTATATATTAACTGTGTGTATATACTCTTGAACAGATCTTTAACCTTGATTAATATGAGTACTTACGTTTTATTATCAACATCGTTAAAGATATCCGACCATCTCTGACGTAACTGGACACTCGTAGATCCATCCATACGAAAATAGTCACATCCTCGGCACCAATTCTCCCTGTCACCGCCAACTTCTCCCCCACCAAGAGCCCTCTCGATCAAGTCTAAGGTGACGAGACTTTGACTAAAGACTAGCACTTTCTCCTCTACAGCTTCTGCATCTGCTAAAATTTCTAATAGCAATGCCATTTTACCGCTTAGCTCTACGTTGTATTCGTCCTCATCGGTTAAGAATTCATCATACCTGAAGATGAAAGACATCAAATGGAATTATTTAAATTTTATTTAAAAAAACTGTCATAAATCTCGCGTTTTGATAGGTTGGGAGCATGTGCTTTATGAGAGCACACAGCACATGCGCGCACTTTCATTTGCGTTATTCCTATTTAGAATAACGAATATTGTAATTCGTATTTTATAAAAGAAATAAAAAACTTGCTTGATGTGCTGCGCGCAGCTATAAAGCATGCGGGGATATGCAGAACACGGGACAGGTATTATGAGGAGTACTCTCCTACGCGCTGTGCTTCTTCTAACACTTCTCTCGTGTTCTACTAATACCCGCGTGCTTTATGACAGCACACAGCACGCGCACGCGTTTTCTATCTCTAACATTGGTAATGCTTAAGGAATTCGGTTGGAATGCTGCTTTTTAAGTTTGCCATTTTCGGTGTCTAATTGTTTGACACATAACACCCTTGATATCATCAYTGATGGTATCAGAACAAACAGGATCTTTACTTTTGTCAAAATCAATCCACAAATATGTCTAATTATTTTCATAATCATTGTGATTATCACATTCATCGCCATCATATCTCACCATTCTTTCTCTTCTGCCACAGGCTCATCCTCTTTAAAGACGGCCCCAGATCGTGTGTTACTTCCCGTTCGAGGTTTCACATCATCGCCATTGACGTCTTCCACTTCAACCACRTCTTTTGGTTCCTCTGTCTTCGTAGGGGCTTGACTTCGGGTAGCACGACGCGATGGTTGAGGCATCACTTCTTCGTCACTTGTGTTATCTTCACTCTCGTTCTCAGAGCTGGAGTCCAGTTGGAATGGTTTATTCTTGTTGTTCTTTTTACTCTTTTCTTCGTCCGAATCTTCACTTAGAGATAAAGACTCGTCGCTGGGCAGTGAAGGCTCACTTTCTTCCTCCTCTTCGTCAGAATGGACCACAAAACCATCTAAGCTGTCATCTGTRTCTTCGTAAGACGCGCGTAAAGATCGACGAATTGCTTCGAGTTTTAAGCACCAGGGATGGGTCCAGATACGCATTAGAGCTTGGTAATCAGAAAACAATGATGCCCCTGAAAGAATACCATTTCATTTAATAGCAGTCGCAGACTGAAACACTACGGGGGAAAACCAGACTACCAAACAAAACAAACAGTWTTTGTTTTTACAAGGGTAACAAGGGTAGCACTTAATAACCATTGGCGAACAAACCTGTAGCGCTCGTTAAGATAGAATTGGAATTAATTAATTTATAGAGGGAAAAAACCAGGAAACCCAGAACAAACATAATTTACCTAAAATTTCGACTAATTTCGACTAATTTCGACTAATTTCGACTAATTTCTACTAATGTCTTAAGTTATCGAACAGAGGATATTTCATATTACCGTCACGATAAGGAATAAACGACATTTTAAAAAACTTATCGTAGTGCGTGAGCTCGCTGCCTAGCCTATCAAAATGCTTGGACATATACCTAGCCTCCTACACAGACGTTCTCGGTGTCTGTCACGGAATGTTTCCCTCTCCATGAACGCTGCGTGACCGTGACAGACACTAAGAACGTCTACACAGGAGGTCAGGAATGCCCGTGTCGTGAGTTTCTTTCACGATCATACGGAATTTCCTTACCTCTTCCTCCAGAGATGTCGCCTTCTGGGTAGACGAACGTGTTCAGGTAATGTTTGTACAGTTTACGCTGAACCTCCGAAAGCCTTATCTTGAGTACGTACTCGTGTTTGGGTGGCAGGAATGGGGTTAATACTGAGTAGTCTCGTCTCTGAAACCACCAATCATCAAAATAATCAATTATATCTGAACCTTTAATTAATTAGCCACTTAAGAAACTAGTGAAAGACTGGGAACGAGTATGTAAAAGGTATTGATAGTTAATCCTATTAAAAAATCTATTCCATGACGAGTAAGAGCACATTAAAATTGACAGGTTTCTGCAGTTTGGCTTCGATTGGCTAAGTAACAGCTAAATTATAAGCGATCAAAACATCAAAAATGACAAAGGAATGTATGTTTACTAAGGACAAGCGTCCCCCAGTAACCATACATTTCTTTGTGATTTTTGAGATGTTTGGGAGGCTGCTACACAAAAGGTTTGAAACCCAAAATTTTGAAACTCCAGAAATTTACTAATTTCGATGTACTCTTTCTCGTTATGGTGTTGATTTTTTAACTAGGTTAATTCTAAAAACTCGTTACCAGTCTTCAACTCGTTTCTAAATCGATCAAGCTCTGAAACAACTTTAAGGCCTTGTTACACTGTGCAATTTTCACAGCAAATTGTCTCGCAATGCAATTTTCGTTGAACACAGCGTGAAACAAGCTCTGCTCACGTAATGCTGAGGAATTGGACTCGAGATGGAACAAGGCAAAGTATAGGAACCGCATGTAGTATGAAGATAATACCCAAAACTGCTCTGAAAAACCATACTGGTGTGCCGAAGAGTACTAAGAGTAATCAATAGCAATGTACTCACTTGTACACAGCCCTCAAGTAACTTGTATARGACATGACAGCGTTGCTTCATCAGTCGAACGTCAATGGGCGTTGAATCCGCGCACTGTCCGTTGAGGATGGGATTGCCGAACGTGTTCATGAACTCGCGCCGAGTTCCCAGCAAATTCGGCTTCACGAAACTCATCATACAATGATCTGTTAAAAAATGAATGAATGAATACAGAAACGATACTCTACCATGGTACGCCTTAAGGTAGCCGGGAGGGAGGACGTTTTTTATTTTATTATATATTTTATGTTAAGACAACTTATTGTCTTTATTTAGACAAAAAAAAGAGAGAACTTACATTCTATTAAATTATTCTGAAGCGGTGTACCAGTCAGTACGATTCGTCTCTTGGTCTTGACGTCATTGACTGCTTTAGAGATTGCTGATTGGTCATTGCGTAGTATGTGGCCTTCATCACACACTACGAGGTCTGGACCTGATAAGATGATGAGAAAGAATGAGTATTGAAAAGGTCTGATGCTGG